GCCACCCGCAAGGGTTCTGTACATCACGCTTGGTAAACTGAGTCTTATTTTTTATTCTTATCTCACGGTGAGTAATAGAATATATGCACATGATTTAAAAATCAAATGGCAGGTATAATAAAGAGCAAGTGTCTGGCCCGCGCCTCCTCGCCCAAGCCTTACTTCCTGGAGGCAACCAGTTTTTACTTCTTTAAGCTCTTAGTCCCTTTTGTTAGCTCCGCACTGCTTCCATCTCTGTTCATGAATTAGAGTTAGACATTATCTGTCGAATTGCTGTTATAATGAGGATTTGGAGAATACCCATCACTCCTATCTCTCCCTCATTTTTATTCTGAAAATACTGTGGAACTAGGAAAAGTCTTAAACAGAGAAGCCATGGGAGGATATTTGCCTTTGAGAAAGATCTTAGGAGTAGGGTGAATGGGGGGGGGCAGGGTAGAGTAGGTGGGAGGCGCCATGGGTGTGCATTAAGGCAGCGGTACTGTGGATTGAGGGCACAGGGAGCATTCGGGAGAGCTGGAAGGCTGAAAGAGCAGGACTGTGAGATTGAGGACCTCTGTTAATTCACTTTGCTAAACATTCTCTTCATCCCCAAACCTTCTCACTGTTAATTCACTTTGCTAAACATCCCCTTCATCCCAAAAGCTTCTCATAAGAACCACAAATCTAGAAAGCTGTGGATTGGCCCCTCAATAAAGATAGGAGATCTTTTTTTTTATAACTCAAGAGAAAATTATTTATTTTATTTTATTGAAGTATAGTCAGTTTACAATGTTGTGTCAATTTTTGGCGTACAGCACCCGAGAGAATAAAATCCTAAACGTTTCAAAGAAAAACTCATTACCACTTAGAGTTTTGGATTTAATCCTAGAGGTGCAAGAGCGGTCGATTAAGGAGGGATTCCCATTATCACTTCAACAGACATCAAAGAGTCATTTGTTAAAATTTAATGTCCCTGTCCATTTTTAAAACACTAGAATCTTTCTCCACTTCAAAAAGAGTATCTATTCCAAACCAAGAGCCAATATTACACGTCATTGGGGAACACTGGAATTCCCCTTGCAATCAAAAGAAAAGAAAAATGTTTTAAAAGCCCACTAGCCATTGTTTTTTCAGCTTTATTGAGGTGCGGTTGACAAATGGAAGTGTTAAGATATTTAAAGTGATCATCGCAGTGACTTGTTACACTGTGAAAGGATTCCTCACATCTAGCTAATTAACATAGTCATCACCTCATTATTTATCTTTTTTGGTTGTTGTTGAGAAAAATTAAATTCTACTCTCTTAGCCAAATTCAATTGTATAATACAGTGTAATTAACTAGAGTCACCATGTTTTACCATGAGCTCCTCAGACCTTATTCATCTCGTAGCTGAAAGTCTCTACTCTCTTAGCAATCTCTCATTTCGTCCACACCCTCAGCCCCTGGCAACCACTTTTTGACTCTCTGTTTCTAGAAATTTGACTTTTTTTTTGATACCTCGCGTAAGGGACACCATGCAGTATGTGTCTTAATCTGTCGGGCTTATTTCACTTAGCATAATGCCCTCAGTGTCCATCCATAAAGTCACGAATGACAGGATTTCCTTTTTTCTCACGGCTGAATAATAGTCCATTGTATAAATATATATCACATCTTCTTTATGCATTACCCACTGATGGGCACCTAGGTTATTCCCATGTCTTTGCTACTCTGAATAATGCTGCAGTTAACACGGGAGTGCAAATATCTCTTCCAGATTCTGTTTTCATTTCCTTTGGATAAATACCTAGAATTGAAATTGCTCGTCCTTGTGGTAGTTCCGTTTTTAATTTTCTGAGGAAGCTCTGTTCTGTTTTCTGTAATGGCTGCACCAGTTTACATTCCCACCAACAGGGCACAATGATGCCCTTTCCTCTGCGTCCTTGTCAACAGTTACTTCTTGCCTTTTTGATAACAGCCATCCTAACAGGTCTGAGGTGGTATCTCATTGTGGTTTTGATTTGCATTTCCCTGATGGTTAGTGACGCTGAGTACCTTTGTTACGGAAATGACAGGACAGCCAAGAAACAAGCACCACTCAGAGGGTTGGAGTACTCAGATTTATTATGCCGGGCTCAGAGGGGCTTCTCTCTGAAGCTCTGAGCACCTCCAAGACGTGCGCGTGAGATTTTATAGGGTTAATTACAAGCTTGGGGTGTTCGGCCAATAGGCATGAAACAGCTTTAGCAGCATCGTTATTACCAAAAGTAGAGGCAGGGAGGCAGCAAACCAACATTTCAAGGCCAGATATGTCTCTTTGAAAATCCAGCTGGCTAGCAAAAAACATGAACAGGGAATCAGCAAACTGACTCTTATTAACTTAGCTTTACGAGTTAGCCCAGCAGAACTCAGATCAGTAATCCGACATTTGTTACACTTAGATTTGTGAGTTATCTTGTTAGCCCAGCCCGGCTTTTCCTTCTCACCTTTCCTGTACCAGTCAGCCATTTGTAAATCTTCTTTGGAAAAATGTCTATTAAGGTCCACTGCCCATTTTTAATCACATTTTGTTTGTCTGTTTTTGCTATTGAGTTGTATGAACTACCATTACTTTTATTGTAACTTTCACAGATGTATATTACCTTTTATTTTCCAGAGAGGGCAGTTAAAAAAAAAAAGCAATCAAAAGCCCTGCGGAAGGGTCTGTGTGGTGGTCTTGGACAGCAGAAAGGAAGGGGGCTTGCGGGAGACTGTGGCACCCTGCAGCCTGCTTTACAAAAGGGGACCTTTGAGGACAGAGTGGTGCAGGCAGCTACTTTAGGGTAATGGGATCCCAGCTGGAGCAGAGGCAAAACGCTTGGGGTCTCTGGACACCTCTGTTATTCACTGTAAACTTGAATAGGGAAACTCCTACTTATAAAGAGTCTGTTGAACAAAAAAGGGGTGGTAGTGAGGGGCAACCCCAGAAGGAGACTGTGGTAACCAAAACCGTCCCCAACATTCTCCATTAGATGAAAAGGAGTGTCACCTTTTCATCTCCCGAGGGAAGAGCTGGTGCCACACTCCCGCTGTCCTCTAGGGGCGCTCTGATCCCCACAACTCTCCAGACTAAATTACACAGTCCTTTTCTTCTTAGTTGAGCCAAAGAAAGGTTGGCGGCAGTTTTCCAGACAAACTCAATCAAGGTACAAAGTTTGAAAAGAAATTCAAAAATTTTGTACATATACGGCACAGATACTGTTATTTTATTTCTGTGTTTAATGTTACTTTGTTTCCACAGTTAACGCACTTACTATTTATCCCACGGCTTACTACGTGATTCTCAAAAAGACTTGGCCTATTTGATAGGGGCTATGGGAACAGTAAGATAAAGAACAAGACCTGTGAACTGAATTTTAGGGCAGAGAAGAGGGCATTCAAAGATAGCTGTGGGAGCTGGTGATTAAACAAACTCTGAGCTTCCTTGGAAGCAAGGCAAAAAGGGAAATGTCCCACTATAGGCTGAAGTAAAATTTGCCAGTTTCTCAAGAGAGGTAAATGTCAGAGCAGTTTACAGAACATCAGTTCTTTAAACAACAATAAAGGATCTAGAGTCTCGTGGCAGTTTGCTAGACCACGTGGTCCACTAGGCACGTAGTGATAGATCCCATATGATTTACCTGAAACATTTCCACCGTCTGTTCATAAGTCTGGTCCTACTTTTCCCTAAAGGCTGTGTCCTTGGATGCTTCAGAGCTGATGCACACGCTCTGAGCGGCCACAGGGCTCTCAGTGGGCACCTTCTTTATACCATAGATCACCTTCTACTGCATCGTGTCTCTTCCTATTTGAAAAGCTATGCCTCTCACTGGACCAGCAAGGACATGGCTGAGGTAGCCTGCGGAGGGATGCTTAGAGCTTCTAGTTCATCAACAGAGCAGAGATGGTTAACGTTTCTCATACCCAGTGTGGGATCACGCCCTCCCCAGCTGAGATCATCCCCAGGGACCCTCAACCCCTGTCTTGGGTGCACAATTCAGAGATGTGACGGTGGAGAACAGAGTTCCCCAAAAGTGTGAAGGATACTCGAGTGTGTTGGAATTATTTGTATAATTTAAAGGAGAATTATGTCATCTATATGGAAGAGGGTCCATAGTTTATGGTGTTCTCAGATGGGCTCATAACTCCAAAAAATTAAGGAGCCTTATTGTAGAATTGTATCGCTACATCTGGGTAATGTTGCAGGCCTTTGACTGTGAAGTAAAGTGTGCAGAGGGAGGATGGTTTTTATTCTGTCTTGACCTTAGGACTATACCTTCTACACCTGCCATTTAGGATAAGGTAGAGCCGTTCCTCAGAACTGAAATCCATATAGTGTCTCTAGCCCTTTTCTGTATTGCCAAATCATAATAAAACCACAGTGGATATCTCTGTAGCGTTCTACCGTCATACAGTATATCCAGATACGTTATCTAACATTCACGATAACCCTAGGAGAGAAGGGTTATAGTCTCTGATTTACAGATGAGAAACCTCAAGCTCAGGGAGTTTCAGTGACTGATTCAAGGTTTCACTAGAGCTAGTAGGTGCTGGGTCCATGTTGGAACCTGAATTCTGTGATATGTTTATATTCCTTCTGTCGGAAACCATGATGAGATTGGAAAAGCTGGACTTTCAGCATAGCTGAAACCAGCCCAAGCTACTATTGCCTCTTCCTGTTGGTTTAGCCTTCTTAACTTGATGCTCTGAAATGTGACCTCAGCCCCTTGCTATACACACCATAAATTACTGCTCATAACATGTATATAAAAGGTGACTTGCCAGGTGGTAACTCAAGTTATTAGCATGTGCAGCCTCCATATAGTCAGCCTTGGATTCATAGACTAATTCCTGGTCCCACGTTTAGCCATGATGGCAAATACAGTGCAGGGTGGTGGTGACGGGAAGGGGAGCTCGTCTTCATCCTGGACAGACGTTAGCTGCTTTAGGCCACTTTCTCAAAAGGATTTGACTCTCAGTCCATCAGAAAGCACTTCTTATCTTGAATTTTTCTCCACAGGAGGCCTACGTGACTCAGCAGGATAAAATCCGGCTGGTGGGGGAGCTGATGACTGTCTTTGGGGCTGTGGTCATCCTGTTACTGGAGGTGAGATGCAGCTGGGGCCCAGCCGAGGCTGCCCCCCGCCGAGGCCTCGGGCTGCACGGTGGGCCACATCGCCTTTCTGTTTCCTGCCTTTCCCAGATCCCAGACATCTTCAGGGTTGGTTTCTCTCGCTATTTCAGACAGACTGTCCTCGGGGGGCCTTTCCACGTCATCACGTGAGTGTCCTTCCTTCCGGCCCCCTGCCCTCCCTTGCCAGAAGTGTTCTGGGTCTCCCAGTCACACGCTGGGACCCTCACCTCCTGGGAGTTTTCTCCAGTGGGTTTGGATATGTGACTGATCACACGTTTAGGTGTAAAGACTGAGCCTGAGCGTGCAGGACCCACGAGAGTCAGCGCTGTGCTGGGGGGGACCTAGAATATCTCCAGCCCTCCTCTCACTCCCCGCTCCCTGCTCTCCCCCTAGCATCACCTACGCCTCCCTGGTGCTGGTGACCATGGTGATGCGGCTCACCAGCACCAGCGGGGAGGTGGTGCCCATGTCCTTCGCGCTGGTGCTGGGCTGGTGCAGTGTCATGTACTTTGCCCGAGGATTCCAGATGCTGGGCCCCTTCACCATCATGATCCAGAAGGTCAGTGCTGCTGTCTCCTTTGGCTTCAGACCTTGGACCTTCCCAGACCCAGGGAGGGAGTGGGAGCAAAGAGGAAGACGCTGCTCAGAGTGGAGCTGGTGGAACTATGGTGGCTTCCCGATCATCAGCAGTAGTGGCTGAGAGTCAGGTGGAGAAAGGACCAGCCCTACCGTCCCTCCCCTCTCTGTTTTCCGTAGATGATTTTTGGAGACCTGCTGCGTTTCTGCTGGCTGATGGCTGTGGTTATTCTGGGATTCGCCTCAGGTAAGAGCACCGCTCTCTCCTCTACCAGATCTTGGGATCCAGTTTTCCAGAAAGTTTTCTCTCATTCTTGCTCTCAGTTCTCATTTCCCATTTGCACTCGCTTTTGCTTTTCTTTCCCCCCCTGGTGGAAAGTGAATGGAAAAGCACGCTCACACCCATAGAAAGAGGCTCACTCAGAAGGCAGAGCCACGTGTTCTGAATTTCTGGGCCAATAACATTCATGTTGACTAACGGCCCTCCAAGATCATTAAAGGAGAGATAGAAAAAGGGCTTTGGAGGGAGAAGGACATTAAACAGGAAAGACTGGCCAGTCGCGAAAAGCGGTGCAGGCAAACAGACAGACCAGTATTTCACTTCTCTGTGTTTACACTTCAGAAGAAGAAACAGAAAACATTCAACAATACATGTAGTGCCTTTTTTCCCCCCTATGTGTGGTCAAAGTTGAAAGAAAAGGAAAGAATCTGAAAAAGAAGGTACAGAAAAAGGGGTTGGGGAGTTTAAAGAATGAGAGAGGAAAATACAGAAGTCATGAGAGAGCCTGGGAGAAGAGAGGCCAGCACGCCCAGGGCGCGTGGGGAGAGGGCCAGAGAGAGGAGACAGGGAACAGCAAGAACAGAGGAGACGGAGACAGAGCCGGGGGCGTGCCAGCAGCAGTGACGCGCGGAAGAAAGTTCTCAGGAAAAGACGAAAAGAGAAAGAGCAAAAGGTGGCAACTCTAAGCCAGTCCTCCGTGTCTGCAGCTGAACATCCATAAGACAAGTGGATGTCCCTGACGATACGTGAAGACCCCCAACCCTAAAAGACCATGGCTTCTAGCACTGAGAACACCATTCCTGTCCTAGGCAGTCCCCTGTTTAACGGGAGTTCCTACGAAGCAGTAGACTGAAAAAATACACCATGATCTGCACCATGATCTGAATGGGGTAAAACTGTAGTAGGCTGCCTGTTTGGAGTGTTCCTCATGCACCCTTCCTCCCCACCCCCTCCTCCACCTGCACCTACGCATACATAAGCTGAGGGAATGGTAACAGAGTCGTTCTCTGCAGGGCTCCTAAACTCTCCTTTGTTGTTGCAGAGCAATGCTTTGTCATAGAGTCTCGTTCTGCTCTTGGGTTCACCTAATTTTACATTTCCATTCCCCATACAGAGAGGCATCTTTTAGAGGTTCTAATGCTGTCTTCAGTTTCCAGGATGCCCCTTGCCATGCAGTAGGCTACACATGGCACAGGGAAAACGATTTCATGATGGTCCATGCTCACCCAGGAAATCTCAGAGTGATGGATGGTTATCTAGAGGCCACTGAGATTTTTTTTTAAAGGTGCTTTTTCTTTTAGCCCTTTCATTTGCTCAGTTCTTTAACGCTGTTGGAGATTCCATGCATTCTTATTAGAACTGCCTTTTAAACATTTGGTTTTCTAAAATGTAAAAACCGGTTAGGTGACATATATATATATTTATACTGCATTTTATATATATTTATATATAATTTTTTGCTAAATTCTGAGTAGTACTATTACCCAGAGAAATGAATTTGGTCGTAGGACTTCTCAGGGTTAGCCAGGTCTACAGGCAGAATGTGACTTTTATGTATAATTCACAGATGTACATTCACGTGTGTGTGCATGTGTGTGCACGTGTGGAAACGTATGGAGATGTATACTGGAGGTAGAATGAATGCAGACCAGGCCCATACTTACTGTGATAACTCCCTGTTTCCTGATCTCCATGCCCTCTTCCTGGGCGGGGCAGCGTTCTTTATCATCTTCCAGACAGAGGACCCATCCCGTCTGGGCCAGTTCTATGACTACCCCACGGCGCTGTTCAGCACCTTTGAGCTTTTCCTCACCATCATCGATGGCCCCGCCAACTATGATGTGAACTTGCCCTTCATGTTTAGCATTGTCTACTTTGCCTTCGCCATCATCGCCACGCTGCTCATGCTCAACCTGTTCATCGCCATGATGGGCGACACACACTGGCGGGTGGCCCATGAACAGGATGAGCTCTGGAGGGCCCAGGTGAGTTTATTAGTGTTTGTCTTACTAAGGGGCAGGGGATGGAGAGAAAAGTCCGAGTGGAATGTGTTATGATAGATGACTGTTAGGAGAGTCACGGAACACCCCGGCAGGGCTGACACCTCAACAGAGTTACCTTTGGACAGGTGGAGGGGACAGAAGAGGGTAGAATGGTAGGATGGATTAGATCAACACCCCAGCTCCTGGGTGTTGGTCATGGGGGAAAGGGTAGATTCCGAAGTCAGCCTTGAATCTAGTGGGAACTAGAAACTACCTTGTTCTTATATATTCTAGTTTTTAGTTTGGACCTTATCTTCTATTTGCTTCTATAACTCCCTATGTCTCTGTGACCTTTTCTTTATATCATCATAGTCTAATGGCATTTTAGACTTGAAAGTGCCTCTAGTGGTCCTCTAGAGGCGTTTCTGCCAAATATATACTCATTGACTGGTCAGAGGGTCATTCAGTATCGTCTTTCGTGTTGATTAGGACCTTACTATGGTGTGGATTTGGGTAGAGGCTGGGAGGAGCGAGCTTCTTCACATTTCAAAGGTTTTGTTGTTAGAAAAAGCTCATATTGCATTGGGCTGAAAACCATCTTTCTGTAATTCCATTCTTTGGCCCCAGCTTTTTCTCGTATAATGCAGAACACACTCTTCCAAATGAGTACCGTTCAGATTTTTGAAGACAGCCATCATTCACCCCCTCAGACTTTTCATTCATTACCAATAACTATTTAGTCTGCTCTGCTGGGAAATGTCTAGGAACTGGGGACACAAGCATGAACACACCGATGTAGTCTGTACCCTCATGGAGCTTACGCTCTGGCTGGGAAGACAGACAGTAAACAAATGACTTCACAGAAAGCTGTACAGTGGTAACAAGTGTGTCACAGAGAAGTAGAAGATGCTAAGAACAGGAGGCAACAGAGGAATTTGACTGGAAAGTTAGAACTTGCTTTCTTGATGGAGTGCATTTAAGGTGGACCCTTAAACGTGGGTAAGAATTAGTTAAGAAGAACAAGGGGAAGAGATGAATGTTAGGATTTGTATCAGTCAGGACTTTTGGCTACAGGGACAGAAAACTAAACACCAAGAGACTTAAAAAAAGAACAGAAGGAGGAGCGTGTGTTGATCCTCACAACTGGAAATTTAAGGAATTAAACTAGCTTTAGGCATGTCTGGCCAGAGCCTGGATCTCTGTTTCACATGTTACATCAGTTTCTCTGCTCTCTCTTCTGTTCTGACGTTTCTAAGTCTGTCTCTTGCATCACATTGGTGAGCTAGCTTACAGAAGCTCTAAACTCCCAAAGGAATGAGCAGGTGCCCTGGGTTCCAAATTCCTAGGGCCTCATTCTTACTGTATTCTGTGTGCCTTCTGATGCTGTGGATTTATAGCCTTTAAAAGAGCATCGCCCCTGCCTCCTGAACCCGTCTCATGGCAATAAGTTTGATGATAGGCACATCCTAAGGTTAGGGTCAAGGATCGAAGAATGGTGGTGGTGGTGGTGGTGATGGTGGTGGAGTCTGGGAGAGAATAGACTGATTAACTAGGACTGTGTGAAGTCCAGTCTCCTCTAACTGATGGATTGAGAGTGGAGCAGGAGTGATTCTCTAAATGAAAGGTGAGCTCTGTTACCAGAAGAAGGTGAGTGTGCTGAATGGTGATGTGGGGAGGAACAATATATGTCCTCTTCAAGAGAAAGAGCTCTCCAGGGAAAGGGGACAGAAGGACTGAAAGTCCTGAGGTGGGAGGGAACTCGGTGCAGCTAAGAAACTGAGAGAGACAGGAGCAGAAGAAGACAGAGTGGAGAACTGAGCTATATTAAGGATTCCTAGTTCCTGCACTTAATCAAAATTCCTGGACCCAGTCCATCCTGACTGACCCCTTTGTTCATAGCTGATCATGGGCTTTTTGATGCTAGAACGATCCTGATCTGATTGGAGGAATGCAGTATAAAGAGGAGTCGTGCTTTACCTTGCTTTGGACACTGTGCTATCAATAGCACCTAAAATTGAGTCAGTTCTTTTAGCAAATAGGCAGTTGGCCCTTTTAGGCTTATGATCAACTAGAACCCCGACTGCTTTGTTACATGACTTATTTAGCTAAGCTCCCGTACCATTTTTCCTGTACTCACACAGATATTTTTGTCTTATACGTAAATGTAGAGCCTTATTTTTGGTTTACTTAAACTTCATGTTAGTGGTTCTTTAACCAGCGTTCCAGTCTGGCGAGATCATTTTTATGTTGCTTTGTCATCTTGCGTATTACGTCTTTCTCCCAGTTTTGTCGCAAGCATGTTTGATAAGCTTGTCTTCTGTGTTTCATCTAAGTTAATTAATGACGCCTGGGCAAAGGACAGAACACGTGCCACTAGAGTTTTCCCTGCCAAGTTTGGAGTCATTAACCTGCGCTTTTCCTTCTTAAGATACCAGCCTTTCATTTGCTGCTGATTCCCTGAACACCAGCAGCAGTATTTCAGCCCTGAGATCACAGAGATTCTGTTTAATCATTCTATTTATGCCTATGGCTTTCCTATGAAAAAAGAAATGAGATTAGTTTGGCATAACTCATTTTCCATGAATCTAAATAGTAATGTAGGGGCCACTGTTTTGTTCAAAATACTAATAGAAGTCTCTCCTTTTATGGTGAATGATGCATAAGTCAGGTAGCACAGGCTGGGGGAGGGGTAAGTGGCTGTCATCTCCACTGACCTGCGGTGTCCTCACCCACTGCTTCCTCTTGTTTCTCTCTGTCAGTAGCCTCCAGGTTCTCTGAACCTCATGGCTCTTTCTGAGTTCTTCCTCCCTCTCTCGCCTCCTCCTAGGTTGTGGCCACCACGGTGATGCTGGAGAGGAAGATGCCTCGCACCCTGTGGCCTCGCTCTGGCATCTGTGGGTACAAGTACGGGCTGGGAGACCGCTGGTTCCTGCGGTGAGTGACAGTGAGATGTGCGGACTGTCAGCCTATGTGAGGCCGTGGGAGCAAGGGTGACCATTTGTGCATTTAATACCCTCCTCTTCATTCTTGAGATCCCAAATTGGACCCAAAGGAGATGTCATCACTCTATAAAGGGAGACCTCGGGAGCCTGTTTGGGGGAGGGGGTGGAGCGGAAGTAGGGGGTGCAAAGAATGCCGATAGCTGATGCCAGGCTGTGAGTTCACAGGGCAGTAGGGTGTGGGCGATACGAAGATGTGTCTGTGCCCAAATGTGCACATGGGTTCCCAGCTTGGTCTAGTCTTGTTTCCACCTGACTCCCACTTCCAGTATATTCTTGCCTTGAAGCTAACCTGCTCCTTCACACTCTACCTTCAGCTCCTCCTGACCTGGCTCACTTTTCCTCAACTGCATCTCATCATCCTTGTGACACACTCTTCTATTACTTGGCTCTGTTTTCTTTCATACTCACCCATGTTCCCCGCACCATCACGCCCACACACAAGCCTTACTACCCTCCAAATGCTGAATGCACAGCCTCTTTAGTTTCTATTCCAGTTTATCCTCATCTCACTCCACTTCCCTTAATTTGATCCTGGACACTCTTCCTGCTTCAGCTCTGCTAACTTCCCCCCTTTTCCTCTCGACCCAGTTTCCTACACGGGCCCCATTCACTTCTGCTTCTCCTCATGGCCCATCTCTCCCCACCTCAGCTGAGCCCTCTCCCCTTTCCCCTTCTCAGAGTTGAGACCAATCAAGATCAGAATGCGTTTCGAGTGCGTCGGTATGTGGAAGCTTTCAAGGGCTCAGACAAGGAGGAAGGACAAGAGAGTCTTTCTGAGAAGCAGCCCTCAGTGGTTGAAAGTGGGATTCTAGCCAGAGCCTCCCTGGCTCTCCCAACTCCTTCCCTGTCCCGGACCACGTCTCGAAGCAGCAGCAGTCACCGGGGCTGGGAGATCCTTCGTCGCAATACCCTGGGACACTTGAATCTCGGGCTGGACCTTGGGGAGGGGGATGGAGAGGAGAATGTCTACCATCTGTGACTGGGACCCCTGTTACTCTTGTCCCGCCTCCAGGTAGTTCTGGGTGGGGGCAGAGAGGGAGACATCGCCTGTGCAAGTATCTGACTTCCGTGCTTGTTAATCGTGGGAGGGGTGGACAGAGTAAGTCTTAAAGGTCGTGTCTTCCCTTCACATCAGCATATCTGGGGATGAGCAAAGGACCCCACACATCTTCTGGCTTCTTGGAAGTTCCACATCTTGGGAAAGAAGGTACCTTTTTGAGCAAAGTTAGATTTGGCAACTAAGGACACAAGGTAGGGGTGCTAGACCCCTGACCGGGCTCTCTCCATTTCTGCCCCACGTGGCGCTAGCTCCTCAGCTGTGGCGCCTCCCTGGTTGCACAGGGCTTATAATGTGGGAGGAGCCAGGCACGGCATTGAGCGTTTCACCTTCTCCTGCGCCCCGTACGACTCTTTCTCCTAACAACCAAGCCCCAACTAGAAAATTGCAAAAAAAAGGTTCTTTATCCTTCATTTAAAAAAAGTGTACTGTATAATAAGATACGCATAATATAAAATTTACCATTTTAACTCTTTTTAGGTGTACCATTCAGTGGCATTAAGTACAGTCACATTGTTGGGTATCCATCACCACTATTCATCTATGGAATTTTTTCGACTGAAACTCTTGTATCCATTAACTATTAACCTCCATTACCCCCTCTCCAAAGCCCCTGATAAGCAGTATTCTGCTTTCTGCCTATGACTTTGATGGCATTAGGTGCCTCATGTAAGTGGAATCGTACAATATTAGTCCTACTGTGCCTGGCTCGTTTGACTTAGCGTCATGCTTTCAAGATTCATCCTTGCAGAACATGAGCCAGAACTGCATTTCTTTTAGAGGTCGAATAATATTTTATTGTATGTACCTACCACATTGTGTTTATCCGTTGATCTACTGATGGACATTTGAGCTGTTTTTACCTTTGGCTGTCGTGAGGAATACTGCTATGCCCATTGGTACCCAACGACCCGTTCCTGCTATTAATTCCTTTGGGCCTGTAATTAGAAGTGGAATGGCTTAATCTTATGGCGATTTGATGTTTAATTTTTTGAGGAACTGACATACTCTTTTCCACAGCAGCTGTACTGTTTTACATTTCGTCAAGCAATGCACAGGCTTCCAATTTCTCCACAATCTCACCAACCCTAGTTATTCTGTTTTTTTGTTTTTTGTTTTTTTGATAATAGCCAATCTGATGGTTACGCAGTGGTATGTGATTGTGGTTTTGATTTGCATTTCCCCAGTGACCAACAATATTGAACGTCTTTTCTCAGGCCTATTGGCCACTTGTATATCCTTTTTCTTGGAGAAATGTCTCTTCAAATCCTTTGCCCAGTTTTTGATTTGTTTGGGTTTTGGTTTTTTTTTTTTTTTTTTTTTTTGGTGGAGGGAGCTGTTATTTTTTGAGTTGTCTTATCCCGGCTTTTTGAGACTCGGAGTCTGAAGTGTTTGCATCTCATTTGCATCCTGGTGTGAATTTTAAATATGTGTAGTAAATTATTTCCTTCCTATGCTTGGATGGCACCATCATTTATTTCATGGGACTGTTCCTGACCTGTCCCTCAAGTTGCCCGTTAGCAGCAGCTAATTATCCACAAGTCTGGAGGTAGCAAACTCTTGGCTGCGTCTCCTGCCACAGCCATCCTCCACCCCCATCTCCCTTTGCCCTTGTGCTGGGCTGTGGGGGGTACAGCAACAACACAGCATGGGCCATCCCTTTCTAGGAAGGAAATTGGGAAACTAGGTGTCCAGGGCACCCATTACAGCCCCACCCTGGTCTCCAGTGCTAACATCACCCCCACCAAAAAGCCGTAACAACTTCTAACAGGACTGTGGTCTGGAATAGCAAAAAAGGTAAGTGATCTGTGAGACCGCAGGCAGGTTCATCCAGATACTCACTCAATGCCCAGATGAGCTTGGAGCGCGGAGCGGTCACACAGTTGTGCATGCACACGCTCACACGCACACCGGAACACAAGTGGTATGGTTCCTAAACGTGCTCAGTTGGGGTGATTCCCCTGATTTTCCTTCCCAGCGGAAGCGCCCCCTCTCCTGTGTAAAGCCCTACTCCCATCCGTGTTCCAGATGCGGTTCCCCTTCTGTCTTCAGGCAGCTGTGTTCATCCCTCTGCCCCCTGACTCTTCTCATTCTTGTATCTTCAGCCTCCCTCTCCCCACTGGCGATACCAGTCAGCACATGACCTGGCTCTGCTCTTTCCCATCTTCAGAGACATTGTAATCGCCCTCTCTCAACTCCCATTTCTCCTTTCACCTCCTGCCCTGTCTTTTTACTCCATCCTGAGGGCCAGACTTCTTAAATGAAGATTCCATTGTCTACTGACACTGAGTCCTCACCCCACTGTGATCTGACCTGGCCTCTCCACACTGCTGATAGCATTCTCAGCAAGGTGACCTACCTGTCCCTAAGCCCACTGAACGGTTGAGTCTTGCGCAAACTCTCTGTAGCGTTCAGATGTTCGTCAACCACTCACCACTTCTCAGCCTGTCTGGTGCCACCCCCGCCACCACTCCATTTCATTTCTACCAACTCCTTCAATATTTTTGGTCCACAAAGCTCTCTGTTTCCCTCACCACCTGGGAAGTTCTGGCTCCCATCCATAGATGGTATTGACACACATTAAGATTCCTGATCCTTTATCTTCACTTTAGATCTGTCTCCTGAGCTCTAGGCACCAGCAGCTTGGATGCCTATCTGTTGGACAGCTCTAGCAGGATATTTCACAGGCACCTCAAACTCAACATGTCCCAAACTGAACAGCTTTTTTTCCTCACCAAACCTGCTCCTCCACCAGCATGTCCAACCAAATAAGCAGACAAAATTGCCTAAGCCAGACTCCTAGGCGGCGTCCTCAACACACCTGGCTCAACTCTCATACCCAGTAAATCTCAAGTCCTACGGATTCTAGTCCCTAAAACATCTCCTTTGAAAAAGAATTGCTTTTGATTAGGTAGCATCCCATGGCACAAAACTCAAAAGAGCACATAAGAGACACAGAGGAAGAAAACAGCCTTCCGACCTCTGTTCCATCCCCTCGGGGATTCTCCCCGGAGAATTTTCTTCATTAAATAAAAGTGTGCTATTTAGCCTTCCAAAAATGCTCTGTGCATATCTGAGCATACGTGTGTGTTTATTCCTCTAGAAATACGTATGATCGTACAATATATTAGAAATACATCTTGCCTTTTTTTTCACTTGTTTGGAAGACTGTTTCACTTGTCTCTACCTCTCCCAACCCTATTGCTCTTCTTCCAAAATGAGCCACTGTCATCTGCCACCTGCATTCCAGGAGTGGGTTCCTACCTGCTCTCTCTGCACGCAATCTTGGTTTTCTCCAATCTATAGTCCACACTATATCCCAACTGATCTTTGTAAGATACAGCTCCTGCCTCGACCTGTGATCTTCTGGAAGCCCTTCCATGAGCTGACGGCTGGCAACCTCTCCAGCTTCCTCACACCTGTCTCCTCTGGTCCTCTGTTTCCCCAGGATGAAGCAGTATTAGTTCTGCTATGTCCTCCTTCTTTTTGACCTTCACAATTTCTGGACCTTTCTACTTCTCTTTCTACTTTCCTTTCTGCCCAACCTCCCTTCCATCTTTGTAACTTCTCTTCACCCTGTTGGTCTCAGTTTAACAACCGTATATTGTGTTTTTGTGTCTTTGTGTGTGTCGGCTGGGGGAGGTCCCTGACCCATAGGCTAGGTTAGAGCCTGCCTGTTCTGTTTGTAAGCCACCTATACTTTCTTTTTTGTTATACACCCTGCACTTTATTGTACTTAATTGTTTAAATGTCTGTTTTCCCTAACAGACCGTAACCCCCACAAAGGAGAAGGTGATGGCCATCTTATTCACCATTGTGTTCTCAGTGCTTGGCATAATTCCTGGTACAATGTAGTGTGTAATAAATATTCATTAACCAAATCTATGAATGACTGACCTGTTTTTCTTCTAAGTTTCCCCCCTAGATATATTTCACATTTTCTTTCACCTGTCAAAGATGGTTAAAAGAAAAAACCCTACCTTTGTTTGAGGTTGTAATAATTAAAGATGAGAACATACTAGGTGTGGAAACACTTTGGAAGGGATGAAAAACAATACAAATATGAGTCATCCTCGGGAAATTTTCTCAGCTTGTAAGTATTTTTGTGTGTTTGAGAGACAGAGAAAGAGAGAGAGAGAGTGAGTAGGGGGAAGGAGTGTGAATTATGATGAAGAAGGAGGGAAAAAGGAAAGGACCCCAGCAGCAGAGCTCTGGGGCAGAGCTCATGGAACCGACCGGCACATGGCGCCCGGTAGCAGGAGCACTCAAGGCGATCCACGGGAGCCTACATCTGCCCGCAAGAGCCCAAGTGGCAAATGAAAAGAAAGATACTCAGGCGTTGCTGTCGACAGAGGTGGTAAGTGGCCCGGGTGCTGAAGGGTTAGCGCAGCTGGCAGATGCTCTCCTGGCAGGCTCATTCATGGGGCTGCAGGGACAGGGACAGGGGAGCAGGGCAAAAGAATACTGCTGTTCGTAGGTCAGGAATTCTTTAGGTCCCCCCTTAGGCTTACCGTTCTCCCCTCCCATTCCCGCCTTCCCGGGGTTCTCCAGAATAGGCAAGCAGAGCAGTCTGGCTTCCATGTGCCCCACCGGCCAGAGGCAAGGAGGCAATGGGAGGAGGGTCTGTTCTCACAGGTGCCTCTGGACTTGAAAAATGTGTCACCTCCCGGCTGCTGGCAAAGTATTTTATGGAAAAGTTTCTGGGTTCTGGGGAGAACGGTGGTGCAGCCCCTGAGCGGGTGCTCTGCCTGCAGCCACCGTGGGAAGGGGGGCAGGGGCCAGCATGCCCCACTGACGCTGGCAGCAGAAATCCCAGCTGAGGTCTGGGGTGTGACGCTGAGGGAGGGAGGGGAGAAAGGAGAGGCCGAGCTGAGATAGGACTGCCTCTGCGGGTCCCTGTGAGCAGAGATAGGGCGGCATGTGGCGGCAGGGGCTGGGGTGGGGGGCATGGGGGCTGCCCGCAAGACCCCTCCTGCAGCTGAGATCACTTGATGAAGCAGAGAAAATGCCTTGACCTTGACGTGGCCAGGATCATTGACTTCTCTGAGCCAGGCCCACCTGTTTCTTAAGGCTAATGAGAAAACAATGAGAAATATGCCAGGAAACTACTATTTAGACCAGGTAACACTGAGTGGTGTCACAGGGGTGGGAACATTGGGTCACACAGCCCCTCTCTCTGCCCTGGGAGGGCACCCAGGTGGGATGTTCCCCATCGCCTGCCCCACTTCTTTGTTTCTGTGGCATTGAAGAGGCGGCAGATAGAGCCACGGACCGGAGTGGGGAAGGGGGTGCTGTGCGAGGCCCCCACTCACGTATGTGGGACCAGGCATCTGTGGGAGGGGTCTGCTTCATTGGCCAGGGGCCACCTTGGGTTCTGGGCTAACCCGAGGGCCACTCAGCTGCCCTCTGCCAACTTTCGTCCTCACACGCATCCCCACTGGAGAGCCAGGGCCCTCGAGAGATGCTGGGTGCAGGTCAAAACCCCATTTCAGTTTCCCACTCGGCCCTGGTACCAGCTGATCACTTCGGACTTGCCTAACTGCCACGGCTGTGTCCACAGAACAGCGGCACACACGTAAAATCACGCGCGCCACCGAAGTTTCACTGATGGAAGGAGCGGTCCTTGCAATATCTTTGCCTTCCTTTACCTCTCCTCCTCCATGTCTTCCTCCATTCTTCATGTCTCCACGCATGGCCTTCTGGTTCAGAGATAAGAAGATAAGGAGCGAGACAGACTTATCAAAGACTGTGGCTGCATGAAGCTCACCTCTGACCCAGGCCTTAGAGAGTGTCTCCTGCCCCTGGGTCAGAGCTCGTGACCTTAAATGGATGGCTAGTCTCTTCTCGCAGGGATTCTTAAACTGGAACTCCCTCCCCCGCCCCCCCCTCCGCTTGCCTCATAGAAACCA